AGAGAGAAAAACAATCTCATTTACATATCTGTTGTTTTTAATTTGACTATAAGGTTGTGTTCCAGGACCAAGGGCACACACTGTACAGGGTCACTGGACAGCAGGAGTGGACACTGGACAGCAAAGCCCACCCAGCCACAGGTCACAGATCAAAGAGCAAAGGAAAATGCCACCTCCTTGCCCCTCCCCACGCCACTCCAGAGCTGAGTGGGTGTGAGAGAGACCGGGGTAGAGAGAGGTATCTGGAGACGTGATGGGTGGAGCATCAGGGAGAGACCTGAATGAGAGTTGAGAGTGTGTCCAGTTGGTTTACATCACCACAGTGTGACCTTTGAGACCTACAGGTGGTTCGAGAAGTCTGGAGACACAACCCCAAAATTCACACCCCAAAACACAAACACACATACATTCATACACTCACACATTCACATTTACATATAGATACATGAAAAAGCAGAACATGAGAAAAAAGCATTTTAAAAGTTTACTCCAATGTAAACAAATATTTTTAATTGTCTATCACTTGAATCTTTAGTTGAATCAGTATTTTTGAGACCAGAAATGTTCATTTGAATTCTATATTGTCATGGACATAATTGACCTCTGTCCTGACACTTTTTATGTTTTGATTTTGTACTGTGTGAAGTAATTACATTGATTAGGATTAGATCTGATAAGCCACATCAAATGAGAATAATATTGCCTATCCATAGACTAACCATAGAGAGTAAATAGAGAGTAACTACTGCATAACAAGCTGTGTACAGGAAAGCAAAGGAAGGTTTCTCACCCATCATCTGTACTTCTTAGCAAGTTTTCCCGACGTTTCGTCCTCAACCTGGGGACTTCTTCAGGGAATGAATTCTCGGACAGCGCGTTGGAGATTTATAACCTATGGGTGTGGTAAGCCACACCCTAACCCTGATACTAACTCGTAAACAATCTCAGGTCTGCTTGATGTAGAAGGGAGCAGGTCTAACGACCCTGCTGAGGCTAACGACCCTAACTCCTTAGCATGTCACAGACCTATTGTCTGCTGGGATCATCAAGTGGAGTGCAGGTTTCACCCCTCCTAACTCATTAGCATGTCACTGACCTTGTCCCAAGTTAGGGCGTTGTTTTTAGGATGTCGTCATAGATGCGAGGCAAAACAAATCTTAACCCTCCTCCTCTGTTAAGAGAAGGTTTCTGTTTCCTCACAAAAATGGCTTCTTTCACCCCTCTCTCAAACCAATTCTTCTCCCGAGCCAGAATTTTAACCTCTGTGTCATCCACCGTGTGGTTGGAGGCCTTGAGGTGGAGATGAACAGCCGACTGTGGCCCACTAGAGTTTTCTCTACGATGTTGGTAAAGTCGTTTCTGTAGAGTTTGTTTGGTTTCTCCAATATAGTGGTCAGTGCACTCCTCTTCACTACATTTAATTGAATACACCACATTGCTCTGTTTGTGTCTGGGTGTTTTGTCTTTGGGATGCACTAATTTCTGTCTTAACGTGTTGAAAGGTTTGAAATACACAGGGATTTTATGTTGCCTAAAGATTCTTTGTAGTTTCTCTGAAACTCCCGCCACATACGGTAAGGACACCCCTCTCCTCCTACTTTCTTCTGTCTGTTGGACTGTGTCTCTGGCCTTTCTCGTCCTTTGGGCTTTAGTAAAAGACCACTTGGGGTAGCCACATCTGGAAAGTGCTCTCTGAACATGTTTGGTTTCTCTGTTCTTTCCCTCCGAGCTCGTGGGGACCTGGTGGGCTCTGTGTTGAAGCGTTCTAATGACCCCGAGTTTGTGTTGTAGCGGATGATTTGAATCAAAAGCCAACGCGCTGTCCGAGAATTCATTCCCTGAAGAAGTCCCCAGGTTGAGGACGAAACGTCGGGAAAACTTGCTAAGAAGTACAGATGATGGGTGAGAAACCTTCCTTTGCTTTGACTAATCCCTGTACGACTGAGGGCTTACACAAACTGTGTACAGGAACTGTGACACTGCACCATTGACCAGAAGTGCATCGCAAATGACCTGATGTGCGCTTTGAGTGAAAAGACTGTATCTGGAGATCCTGATGTGCATCTGGAGAGACCAAAACCATGGCTTGGACCCTACTGATGTCCAAGATGACATCTCTCGAAATATGACCTGACCTGATGACGACTGAGACTCGCCCTCAGGGGACCCTGAGGACCTGAGGATCTGAGAGAGAAAACTGGGTAGTGATGTTTATATTTTTAAAATCATACCATTGATGAGTGCTAAATGAGAGAGATACTCATGATTCTTTCTTTTGTTTTTGTTTGTCCCTAGCTTCTGGACATCTGATGATCTATTGGACACAGCCATTTGCAGAACAAGAACCAGCCAATGAAAACGTCTATTGCCGATGCTCTTGCTACAACCAGAACCACAACTGTGACCAAATGCAATATACATGTTAAGTATTCAGACATCTGACAGACAAAAACTTTGACTTTTTAGTCTGGTAGACTGAGCAACTGTTAAAATGTTTTAAAATGATAAAGTATGAGTATTGTAGTGTTTTAGTAGATGTTAAATAGTAGTAAAAAAGTAGAATTTGACTTCCTTTGTTGTTCATAAACACATTTCCACGTAAGAGTTAAAATAGTACCATACAATGTTATCCTTTTGATAGAGCAGCTAGAATATTGGAATCAGAATAATGTTACAGCCATTAAAAGTGACAGAAGTCACAAATTAGGAATATGCCTTTGCTCAAGCTGCTGAGCTTTGGAGTTTAAAAAATAGAGTAAAAATAGGAATAGATAAATGCATCAACCATAGATGCTTTCAAAAATAGAGAATATTTTTAACCATTGCTAATATCAAATGGTAATGTTTAAGAATATGGCTCAAAGCAAATATGCAAACATATTTGTAAATAGATTAGAATAGTTTTAAACTATAGTGAATCATAAAAGTAAAGTACACAGTCTAAGATTGAAAAGTGAAATAAGTGTAGTGTAAACAATTAGCATTAGAATAAAAGTATAGAGTAATAAAAGTGAAATTAGCTTCTAATTTGAGACTCAGCTCGTTTTTTGTCTGTGTTTTGACTGAATCTGCTGAGTTCTTGTGTGTTCAATAGTTTTTGTTTGTTTTTATTTTTGATTTGTTTTTTGTTTATTTATTTACTTTATTTTTGTTTTGTTTTTTCCCAGGATAGAGGATAAATTCCACTGATATTGATTTGATGATTATGAGTTCAATGCATACATTTTCTTTGTTTTTAATAATTTTTTTAAAGTTTTTTTAGAATTTTTTTTTTTCTTCTTTTTCCACTTTATTGATTGATCAAATTGAGTGATCACATGTGATTATGTGATCAAAGGGGAGTTAGTATTAGATAGCAATATGGCCTACGTGCAGGACTCTACAAGGACTCTACAAGGACTCCATGTTTTGACTATGATGTGACTGTCTCTTTGTGACACGTATGTCTTTCGATGTGTGACGTGACAATGACTATATAAACTGTGTACTGCCTTTATTCTGTCTGAGAGAAGGAAACAAAGTAAACCATTGGAACTTGAGAGAAACTTAAATAAACTTCCAGAGTTTGGCGCACCACGATCCGTCTCTGTCTGTTAAATCCTAACACAGGAATGAAGCAGACAGAGACGGATCGTGGTGCGCCAAACTCTGGAAGTTTATTTAAGTTTCTCTCAAGTTCCAGTGGTTTCCATTGTTTCCTTCTCTCAGACATACCGTGGCAGTAAAACATACCGTTTTACTGCCACATTGTCTCCGTGTAAACTCAGCCATAGTTTGTTAGCTAAAATCCTTGGAGTCATTTGGTACCGTGGTGGGCTTTTTAGGTAGAAGTGCCAAATGGCACCTCCATGGGTTTTCTAGTGTTAAGAGGAATCCAGTGGCTTGACCGCCATGACAAGAAGAACTTTAAAAGAAAAGACCTGCAGCGTTTTGATCCGAGGTTTTTTACCAACATGTGAGAGCTACAATTTAGCATCCATCCATCCATCCATTCATTTTCTACCCCTTAATCCATTTCTGGGTTGGGGGGGTGGCCAGAGATGCCACCCAGTCGACATAGCACCTTACTGATCCTCCTCCAGGTGATGAGCAATAGGAGGAAAATCAGGAGGACAAAGTGAAACTCCTGACGTGAAAAACTGAGAAAGCAAAAACGCTTGGCTGGAGTTTTCCCAAACCCTTGTTTTCACTGCGAGATTCTCAAGTTACATGGGGTAATATTTGACCCCATCCATTTATATTACACACAATTCAATAGCCCCGGCCACACAGCTGTTATGGGCAGAGATTTGTCTCAAAGATTCAAGGAAGATAAATATTTTCAAAGCAGTGCATTTATTCAAAATAACAATCGAAATTGTATAGATTAATTCAGGTGAAATCCATATTGATTTAAAAATGTGTGTTCACAGCAGTTTTAATTCTTGCATTTTTCCTCTTATGAATGTGGATAGTATTGAAACACACTTTACACATTTTCACAATATGGACTCATGCAAACTCTGTGGAAGTCAAACATACTGAATATACATCCAATCATTTATATTGAAATCCACAGTTTTGCCTGTAAACGTCTGATTTTGCTTGCACATCTCTCCCAGATGTGAATTCAGCCTTTGTTCTTGTCTCAACTCTCATCAATACAAGAATCCTGGGAAGCATGGATTCCATTTTATTCTTGATTTTTGGTGCCCATTCTATTAATTAAACCTTTGAGTTTCTAAGTCATCATCATCATCATCATCATCATCATCATCATCATTTTCATCCCTTTAAGTCTTTTGGCTATAATAGAAGGAAAGAGAAGCCCTAAACTGGAGAATTACGAGGGATTTCTGCTGTTGTTGAAGGCATGATACAACCTGTGGTCATGCCTTCAGTAATATGAAGTAAAGTGGTTATTTACAAAAAAAAATCGAACAATCAAAACTTGCATAAGTGATCCGTACACACTGTAGTTTACAATATTTGAGCTTTAGTCATTACTTGTCGAGTTGTCTTTATGCAGTGCTCTTGAATGAGAGCAGGATCATGCTGGTCTGGTGGGTGAGGCGGTTGGCGCTGGCAAAGACATTAACCACTCTGAAAATGAGTGAAACAGACACAAGGACAAGTGTCAATCACACTGCAAAGTCACCTCTCACACAGCATTACAAATGGGATAGTGGGATATTCACAAACTCTGCTGATGTCTGTCTCCAGGAACTGACTTTATAACTATCATATATAAATGGATGGATGGATGTTTAAACTACAAAAGCACACACCTCTGCTAAGAGGCATATTTTATGAAGGGACAAACCATACTTTGCTCGTGTGTACTTTTGGAAAGGAGATGTCAGCTCTAAGACAGAGAGACAAACCGCACTAAACAAACTGCGTTTGGTCAGATTAAGTACTGGAATGTGCATAATGCGCAGGATCAATGAGCTTATAAGCGCTACTGTCCGTGCGGGGACCAGTAGCATTCCAAAATTACTGACAAATGTTATATCCACTCAACTACCAAACAAACAAACATGCAGTAAAGTATGCAGCTTCAGTATTAACTGCAGAAAAGTTGTGTGTCCTCACAGCCTATTCTTGGCAAGTCGCTTTAGCTCATGTGGAACCCATGTGATTCAAACAAAGACTCTAAATAGGGAATTATGTAAAATAGAACCATATCTGCTATAACAAGGATTAGGGTCCCGATATTCCCTATGTTTTTGCCAATCTGTTTTTGCTCCAGTACAAGAAAGATGACACTGGATGATAATAATAATAATAATTATTATTATTATTATTACTATTTATTTATGTTTTTTTAATACATTCATGAAGTTATATATTATTGTCCTCATAGGGAAATTTCTCCTCTGCATTAGACCCATCCTGCTATGCCACTAGGACAGGGGTCGGCAACCCGCGGCTCCGAAGCCGCACGCAGCTCTTTAGGGCTCCTGGAGTGGCTCCTGGAGCCTTTTCAAAAATTTCTGAAAATGGAGTGTAAGGGCTACATTTTATTTCTAGTTTGAATGTTGTTTCTGTAGGAGGAAAAACATTCTTTACGTTTTTAAATGCTGTAAAAATGTGCATAAGTAATACATTAATTTCAACATTTCTGTCAACGTACTACGTCATATTCTATGACGCGCGGTTACCCTGCCCGCCAGGCGCCGGGCCGCTGCTGTAAACAAACCGGCATGTGAGCATCATAGACTGTAAGTGCACAGGGATCCCAAAGCTTAAATGAGAAAGAGTCGATAATAAGACTGGACTAGAATGAACATTTGCTTTCAGTCAATGAGGAAGGACTGCTTCATGTCTTTAATGAGAAGTTTTGTTGCAACACGAGGAACAATGACGCGCAAAACACTGTTCATGGTGATTACGTGAAGGATTCATTCATCAAAAATTCAGAGCACCTATTTTCAGACTTCAAAACCTTCGCAAAGACGGTGAAAGAAAAGGCCAATAAAGATATTAATTCAGCTCCAGCAAACTTCAGCCTGTGACGTGATCGATATGAGCAGACAGTGATGCAGGTATGTGAACTCTAAGTTAAACTAAGGCAGAGTCGTCACGTGATGCGTCATTCACGACACGCGTGGTGCTACACGCTGCAGTGAAAATACACATTTGATAATCATGAATGATTATTATGTATTTGTAGCCTTTACTTTGTCATTTAGATATTAGGCTAATATAGCTAATACATCGTGCAGCCTGTGTTACCTTCATGAAAGCCTTATACAAGGCTGATATTTTTTTGCGGCTCAAGACAGATCATGTTTTTAGTTTTTTTGTCAAATATGGCTCTTTGAACCTTTTGAGTTGCCGACCCCTGCACTAGGGGCTTAGTCAGTAGCGGTGGTATCGCCGCCAGGGACCCCTCTACAGATGATTATGTCGGAAACAAACATCCTGATGTTGATATTTGTTACATATAGTACATGTTTTTAGTACTAGGAAAATCCGGAGTGGGGGAAAACTATGGGGGAAACATGCAAACTCCACACAGAAAGGCCCCAAAAGGAGGTGGAATGGAACCTAGTACTGTACCTTATTGCTGTGAAGCACAGGCACTAACCAGTGCTCCACCGTGCCGGCCACTGTTGCTATGGCTGCTGTTTAAGAGATTAGAGATAATCATCCTAAAGTTGGTTCAGTTTCTTCTCTTTTTATTTGATTTTGAGTACATATTCATGAAAAGGCGTTTTCATCCTGCTACCTGGTATTTCCTTTTCACCACAAAATAAATCTACAAATTTAAATTTGTTTGATTTATTTTAAGGTGACTTTTGAAAGACTGATAATCAACGTGAGTCATACTTTCCGTCCTTGAAGTAGACCTTGAGTGTGTCACTGAAGTTCTTGGAGCACTTTACAAACTCCTTCTTCTGCTCCATGGCCTGAACAGGGAGCAGAGACGGTTGCATTCAGACCTTTCTTCAGACTTACATGTGACTCTTACCCATCTGTTCTGATACTGCTGTGATCTGAAGATGGCATTCACGATGTCCAGAAGCTCTTTGATGGCACCAGCGATGTCTCTGCAAGAGAACTTATATGAACACTGTGCTTGAGCATTGTCTACAAGATTTCTAGTCCTTTTTTTTTTTGAAAGTGACTGAATGGAACTTTATACTTTATTACTCTTCATTGTTCTCCATTGCAAGATCAAGAAAGTTTACCTTATATTATCTTATTCAATATATTGTCGCTCATTCTGAAACTTTCATTGAAAATGTAGCAAATACTCTTGCAATGAATAGATTAGTAGTTAAAAATGCATGTATTCATCCACATTCTACGAAGATATAGTTGTAGTGAAGCCATTGGAGGACAGACTAATGGATATTTTCTCCAGACAAAAGAAAAAGTTCAGACCTGACTGCTGCCAAAAGAATGCTTGCTACCCGATGGAAGCCCCCTCACTCAATGTCTCACTGCACTTTGACTGCACCCACATGCAGTCAAAACCCAGGCATGCGTTCACAAATGGAGTATTACATATCAAAGCTCAATCGTCTAACAGGACTTAAACATGAAACTGGAGGTTATTAAAGACCAGTGTTAACTAAACAACAGGACGGACAGAAGAGCCGCTCTTTTCAAATGGATTTGACAGAAGAACAGATAGTGAGACAGAGGGCGAGGTGTTTGAATTGAATTTATAAGTTAAGGTAAGACCATAAAACAAGTTTAAATGTGCTTTTTATTTGCTCTTGTGATTTGTATGTATAGCATAACCTGATGCTGCCAAACAAATACTGAGTAAGCAACACTAAAGCACAGAGCCTCATGCTGCTACAATGTACAATAGTATCACACCCTCATACTGCAAACATGTACAGTAGTATCAACCTCATACTGCTACCATGTACAGTAGTATCACATCCTCATGCTGCTAACATGTACAGCAGTACCAGATCCTCATGCTGCTGACATACACAGTAGTATCACATGCTGCTAGCGTACAGTAGTGTCATCCTCAAGCTGCACACATCTACACTAATATCACACCCTCATGCTGGTAACATGTACAGTAGTGTTATCACAGTGAATATTTTAACCCTCAGAGCTAATGACGTGATATATATATATATTAGTGCTGTCCAAAATATCGCGTTATTAACGCATTAACGCAAATCAATATTAACGGCGTCATTTTTTTTATCGCGCGATTTTTTTTAATTTTTTTTTTTATTGCAGACAAACACATATACAGAAAAATAAAATAGAAACAAAGAAAAGGACTAGTTCAGATACATTGTAGACAGAGATTACAAACAATATGTAGTTGGAGATACAGGGGGCCAAAGAAGAAACCCAGAAGGGCACATAGGAGGGGGGGAGGGGGGGGCATGAAGTGGGAGATGGGGGGGAGGGGTTAATAAAAAAGGCAATACAAGCAAACAGTATACAGTCATAGATATACTGAAAGTAAACAGAGAAACAGCATAGAGTATTTACATGAACAAATTTACAAAATATTTAAAAAAGCAATTGCACACAGCACGCCTATTCACTTTTTAGTAGTATTAAAATGATAATTCAAGGGACATAAAGAATAGATACAAATGTGTGACTAATTTGCGATTAATCGCGAGTTAACTATGAAATTAGCAATTAAATATTTTAATCGTTGGACAGCACTAATATAAATACATATATATTTATGATATTCTTGCAATGGAGTGTTAACAGATTTATACCAAAAAGTATTTTATTTTTTTTTATTTTTTGTTGAAAGATGCGCTGGGTAACGGCTGCAAGTCCTTAGTAGCTCTGATTAACAGTTGTTGTTTTGTGCTTTACAATTTTTATTTTTATTGCTTTTTCTGCCTGAGATGTTGCTTCAGTACAGTGTGCAAAGTTTCGCACTGGTCCAGACCGGAGCAGAGAGGATTCACGGTCCAAACCAAGCGGATCAGGTGAAAATCCAATGGAGGAATGCTGACTTTTTGAAAAATGCTAATGAAGCATTTAGCATTTTACTTTGTACTAGAGCAGAGAAAATGGTCCAAACCAAGCGGCTACTCCATCTTTTGACCTGTCCTGCTCTACCCAGAGGCTACTCCACCTCTGCTGCTGTGACCCGTCATGCTCCACCCAGAGCCTACTCAATCTGTGATGCTCTGACCCATCCTGCTCCACCGAGAGGCAACTTCACCTCTGCTGCTGTGACCCGTCCTGCTCCATCTATGCTACTTTGACCCGTCCTGCTCCACCCAGAGCCTACTCAATCTGTGATGCTGTGACCTGTCCTGATTCACCCAGTGGCTGCTCCATCTCTGCTGCTCTGACCCATCCTGCTCCACCGAGAGGCAACTCCATCTCTGCTGCTGTGACCTGAAGGGCTGTGGCTGATTATTTTCTTTTTTCTTTTTGCTACAACTGGACACCTGAATTTCTCCTTTGGGGGATCAATAAAGTATCTATCTATCTATCTATCTATCTAGACTGAAAGTATTAACGGACGTAGTCATCTCCGCCGTTCAAACTAATGTGCCCCTACTTTTGCCGTCTATGGGCAGTTTCCAAATGGCCGGGGGGGCTGGAAAATGTGCATCTGCGCTTGCGTCAGACGGCACGCGCCACAGTCATTTGACGAGTGCCTTCAAAATTTCACAACGGCTAAATTAGACTGGTCCAAAAAAATTCACTCCATTCAGCATTGACACACATGCGAAACATAGCGTTGGGCCATGAGCCGACTTTTGGACCATCCTGTAAAGCCGTTTTCAAGAGGCAAGAAGATACGTACATTAGAATTGAATAATTCTTATTCCGGGTCCACCGCCATCGGCCCGGGGTGGTATTGCAAGCATGTCAGCGTATGTTGTTTTGGACATTATTGAGTCGGGGCCCCCCACTGTTTGCACCAGGGTACACAGGTCAATACTTTATGTTACGTTTCTTTATCAAGATAGGTAAATACATATATAAATACATTATAGTACAGCTCTATACTGTATATATATTTAACTATCTTGTGTGGTCCTCTCTCCTATTCCTTCTGTAACTTGTGATGCAACAGTGTGTTTGTGTGTGTGTGTGTGTGTGTGCGTGTGTGTGCGTGTGCGTGCGTGCGCGCTCTATGGAGCTTGCATGGGGAAACAGAGTGCTTACTTGATAGTCTGGAGGAAGCTCACTTTGTCGAGGATTTCATCAGGGATGGTGCTGAGGACACGTTTAAGAGTGTGGGCTTTCTTATTCAAGCTCTGGAACTCCGGCTCTTTCCGCTCAATCATCATAGCTGCAAAAGAGAAGGGAAACACACGTCAGCAGCAGAACAAACATAACAAAAGCAAAAATATAACTTTGTATTTTAACGAGAGCATAAATATAATCGAGAGGTGCACATAACTTTTTCAGTGAGGTACCAGATGAGCACCAGGAGATGGTGTTTGGTATTCACTCTCGCGTGGTTTGAGATTTTATACTTGCTTCTTTTTTATGATAAAATTAAGAACGGCTCAGATAATCTAGTCTCATCTTAAGAAGTAAAATAATGATTCACAAGTATGCAAAAAAAAAGAAACTTCCCGAAGAAACACAGGGAGACATGGACACTGCCTTAAGCCTGGTTCACACGAGAAGATTTTAAAATTGTCGGCCAATTTTCCTAACCTGAGAGACCCCACACACGGAGACAAAAGATCAAGGGTCAATACATTTTGATCGTAGTGTGTGGTGCGCAGCCACACGGCAAGATCACGCAAACCACACATGAACCGATTTCCCCCACGAGCATTCCCAAATCAGACGGAAATCTCACAAAATTTAAGCATGACTTAAGCGTAAACAATCATGGCGGGCGAAGTTTCCAGTTTGTTTTTAGCAGAGAAAAGGCGTAATCAAAAGAAAAGGCAATGATCAAATAAGTGGAGACAACGCGAACATGGACTACTTGCTACATCGTAATATGGAGGTGAGTTGTTTTTTTCCCCTCATAGGAATGTCGTAGCCTACCTCGTCTTCTGATTGGCTACACACCACAGTCACCTGGCAACGCGCGTGTCTGTCCCCGGAGGACACCACACACGAAGAGAAATTGGGCCAAAACAATCCAACATGTTGGATATCCCCGATTTGAGATCGGAGCAGTCCCCAAGTCCTTCCGAGCGACGAGCGCACTCTTAACACACAACACATGGCAGGAAAATCCATCTGATTTTTTTTCCCGATAATCGGAGTGTTCTTAAGATTGTTGTTAGGGGTAAATAGGGTCCAAAATCGGACTAATTATTCTGCCGTTTGAACCAGGCTTAAATGTCCATAAGTCCAGCTCTGTTTCTCCCAGCGGTGTATTTATTGCGTGCACAGTTTACGCAAAGACTCATTTGCAACAAGCAGAGGGGTAGGGTTAGGGTTATAACTTAAAACTAGTATTACTTTACACATTGTCTGAAATGCAAAACTTTTAATGGTTCTCTCTGACAGACAGTTAAAACAATTGTTAGCTGTGTTTTTAAGTTACACAGTAATGTAAATGCAAGACTCGATGACTCAAATGTTATGCCTTTACTGTAAAATTGCAGTATTAAAATTATATTCTGTGTATCTTGTATGCACATAACTTAAATGTATCTAAAACAAAGTAAAAGGCATAGTACACACTATGCGGTTGAACTTTCACTAAAATCTATATGCACATGCTAATTCATTGCCAGCCATCAATCACTGTACACTGGTCCAAGAAATTCAATTTACAGTAAAGCCCAGAGCCATTTGGAAACGAAGGGCACAGGTCTGCAGTGGAGAAACAGCTTCCCCTGTTGGACAGTCTTAATAGTGCACCTGTCAAAACTGATCAAAACAACTACAACCAACAGCACAGCAGGTTCCACTACTGATGAAAAGCTTATGAGAAAGGAAACATCTAAGCAGGAATTTTGAAATACACTGGCGTGCACATATAATGCAGTAAATTGTGATTGGAGATAGACATTCTAACCACATGTTGTTGAAACACTAATACTTGGCTCTGTACCTTCAAATTCCTCTGCAGCCATCCGGAGCAAACACTCATGATAGTTGACTTGAATCTGTTCCTTCTGCAGTACTTTTAATAGAATCTGTTGTGTAAGACCAGGACTGTGTTTTTCTGCCTGGGGAAGCACAATGGAAATTGTGTTCAGCAACATAACAATGAAATCAATATGAAGACAAGAGCGAGCATTGCAGAAAGTAAAATATATTTCTCAGAGAGGATGGGTGTTATTGTGAAAAAAGGGAGAAGAAACGGCACCTTGATAAAGGCTGCTTTCAAGGTCTGTGTGGCAGAAGATATGTCTTCTTTTTCCAGCTGAAAGATAAAAACAACTCTGTAAAGGATTCAAACTACTTCAAACTACTGATCTGAATAGCAAAACATCTGAGATGTTAGACACATTACCACATTATTTTTTTTGGTAGTTATCCAAAAAAGAGAAAAAGAACAAAGATTTTGTAAAGAAGAAATTGTTCTTAATTCAGAGGCTGAATAAAGACATTAACTTTTTTGGAGAAGGGGGTTATACCAGTTGTCTCCATAGTGAGATGTTGCACAGAATGGCATTATCATCTATAGCAGAAGTGTCCAAACTTTTTAGTGATAGGGCCATTTTAGTTCACCAGGCTTGTCCATGAGCCAACCACCGGGGCTGTTTTGGGCTTTATAAGTATGTAGCTACCATCTCATCAGCTACATAAACTAGATTGATTTTGACCTAATCTAAAATAAATGTAATTTTATACAAATAAAAAAACTGGCTGAATTCTAGAGGTTCCGAGCTATACTAAGCTATAATAGGTATACCAAGACTGAGCTGAAGTTGGCTGAATGACACTGTGAACTTGTGTGTATGATCTCAAAGACTTCTTTGGGTGAGCAAGAAATAGGACTATATAAAATTAAAGGGAGGCCGCAATTTGCCTGCGTCCCTTACAGTCTTAGGAATCAAAAGTCCGTTGTATTGATTATCCCCTGAAAATGATAATAACTCAAACTAATGAATAAATCAGAGTTTGACATTATATGTTGACACAAAAGACACAACTATGGCGCCAGATTCATGCCAAATGTCCACAGGCGCAAATAATACACACACGCAAACTACTCTCCACGCGCACATTTCACGCCACACACGCGCAGATCCTCTCGCACCGCGCGCATATTCAGTACCACGAGCAACAATCCACGCGTGTGTTCCCTCGTGACTTGCCTTCTCCCTTCTCGTGGTCTGTGTTCTGCGCGCGTCTAAAACTTTTGCCATCTCTTCTACGCGCGCGTGAAATGTTTTTGTCGCTTGGGGGCGGGGTCAGTGAAAGGTAAACAACCCACTGCTGGATTTCTGGGCGACGTCACAGGCAAGTTGCTTGCATGGCCGAGTGACTAAAGAAGGTAGCATTGAGCACACTTTGTATCTGGTAAGTGTTTGTGTCCTACATTATCGAATAATCAAAGTCCAATCCATAAGTAATCACTAGGTTACATGATGTCGCTAGATTTAATCATGATCAGTCAAGTTAAAGCAGCTCAAACAGCTAAAATGCTAACCGGCTGTTAGCATTTTAGCAACGTTAGCTGTTTTGCTAAGTCAGCTAAGGAGGCTCCTGCCTCCTTCTTTTTAGTCTGAGGAGAAACAGCCCTCATACAACTAAACAGTTGTTCATAGTTTAGCCTGTATAGCCTTCTAATCACAACAAAAGCACATCAATACTTTGGAGCCAAAGTATTTAGCTCTAAAACCACGAAGTTTGTGGTGTTTTACCTTAAATACAACTACTGGAGAACTAAAGTGATCAACCCGTATACCACTGAAAAGGCAATAATAACTTGAGCTAATGTTGCTTTTTTTCCTTTATCAGGAGAACCATAGTCTGCGCCTTGCATCTGTGGAGGGGACTGCTGAGCTGAATGCATGGAGAGACGTGATGTGGATTTGTTTCCTTTTATTTTGTGCATAGCTACTTGTAAAAGTCCTCCAGTGGTCCTCCTTGTGCCGTGGTCCTTCTTCAGACAGCGCAGAACATGGAACACAACACAGATTACACTAATAAAGGGGTTAACCGGTGTGCACCAGGTCAAGACTGTAATTGAACAATGAAAACATGTAACAACGGTGCCCACACCCGTTACAAGTCCATACCCTGCCATACAAGAACAGTTTGGGGTAAGGATGTACCCCAAGTCTTTGTGGACATACTCCCAGGCATCATAAGGCTTTGACTTAATGCCCACTCTCTGACTGGGGAGCACATCTGCCTCAAAACACAGAACTCGGTACCAGAGTCGAAGTATTTCACATTCTTTACATAACACATAATTGTCTGCATCTATAGATTTATATGATTTTAGTTTCTCTTTTGTATGGACACCGGGGGCCTGAATGAGGTTATTATAGATATTAGGCCAGGTATCCGATGGCCATTTACTCCTATCTACAACCCACTGTTCTGTGAGAATAGTATTATTATTATTATAATTTGACAGGCACAGAACAAAACGCATTGTTACAGGTAATCGATGCCGTGTTCATAGGCTGTATAGCGAACAGCTAATTGGCAGACCTGGTCCCTAAAGCATAAAAATACATTTACATTGATCATTATTAAAAACAAATAACACAGTACAAAATATTTACGGTAGACTATTAGAGTCTTGCATTGTGCGCAGAAGTTTGGTTCCTTTTGAGCCATTGTTTAACTTTAATTTTAAACTCATTCAGGTCTCTGAATGAGTTTAAAATCTCTGTAGAATCTCCTTTTTTCATCTCAAAAACATCTCCAAACTCTGCTCCACTCTCTCCCCCTCTGACGCTGAAACTTTAGTTCATGCCTTTGTCTCTTCCAGGCTGGATTACTGCAACGCCCTCCTCGTCCTGGCAAAAAGCCTTCAAAAGCTTCAGCATATCCAAAATACCGCTGCCAGGATCCTGACGAGGACGCCGAAGCACCAGCACATCACCCCAGTCCTCCGCGATCTTCACTGGCTTCCAATCATCCAACGCATCCAATACAAAATCTGCCTCCTCACCTACCAATGCATCCACGGACATGCCCCGGACTATCTCACAGAACTTCTCACTCCTCCGCCCATAACCAGAGCACTCCGGTCCACAGACACCAACCTCCTCTCCATCCCCAGAACTAAACTCCGGACAATGGGTGACAGGGCTTTCCAGGCGGCTCCTCCCAAACTGTGGAACGCCCTACCACCACACCTGAGGGCCCCACAGTCATTGGATAACTTCAAAAGAGGACTTAAAACTTTTCTGTTTCCTTCTTAACATTGTTTTAACACTGTTTTAACTTTAATGATGTGTGCTTTTATTGTTGTTGTGCTGTAGCACTTTGAGATTTGTATGTAAAGTGCATTACAAATTAAAGTTATTATTATTATTATTGTGTGTTAGAGAGTTCAGTTCGGCAGGCAAAATGTTCCAGAGCTGTGGCCCTTTGACTGCAAACGAAGTCTGACCAAATGATGTTTTACATCTTGCTGGTCTGCAGTGTGTATGGATCGGGAACTGGTGCCCATCGCAGAGGACCAACGAAGGGCAACATAGGCTAATGAGGTTATTAGGAGAGCATATTAAACATTTACGAACTAAACACGTCCTGGTGTTAGTATATAGGGTGTCCACAAGAGTGTACATACCACGTTAAAGACTAAAATAGCCAGCCCAGTTGAAAAAAATTGATTAACTAATCATACGCTGTACAGAGTTTGAACAAGACATAACTTAATGTTAGCCACTTAGCCACTCCTCGGATGCACGCATTCCATCTCCAAGCTGCAGTGGGTTGTTTACCTTTCACTGACCCCGCCCCCAAGTAACAAAAGTTTTTCACACGCGCGTAGAAGAGATGGCAAAAGTTTTCAACGCGCGCAGAACACAGACCACGAGAAGGGAGAAGGCAAGTCATGAGCGCACACACGCACGTATTGTTGCTCGTGGTACTGAATCTGCGCGCGGTGCGAGAGGATCTGCGCGTGTGTGGCGTGAAATGTGCGCGTGGAGAGTAGTAGTAGAGAGTAGTGGAGAGTATAAAGAGTGTGAATTAATTAAAGCTGCGCGTGTATGTATTATTTCCGCGTGTGGACTATTGCCGTGAATCTGGCGCCATACACAACATCTATAATTTGGTATCAGAAATGGTCTGTTCCACTGAGTGGAACTGAATCAATAAGATTACTCCATGAAACACAACAGCAAAGCAGAACCAAGCAGCAAAAACAAACATTATATACAGAACATTATAATAAATTCCTCTCATTGGTTCTGTCACCAGCCCCTCACTGATCCTCCTGCAGGTGGTGAGTCCACAGGAGCCCTTAGAGCCTGGTGTGGACCCACGACCTTCAGGGTCTAAGGCCAAAGCTCTACCAACTGAGCCACTGTCGCCCCGGGTTTGAAGCATTGCAGCAAAATAAAAAGATATATTAAGACATATCAGCTTCAGCTCAAAGCACTGGGGATTCATCACACTCTAAAACAAGCCGTGAAAAGTAAATAAAAAACTGAAGCTTAACAATAAAAAAAACTAGACCACAACAACCAGAGAGGATCAAGGGAGAGGACGGTTCCTGTAAGAGTTCCACCCCGCTTCTTTTACCAGGAACTCCTGCGGTGAAAATGCGGCTAAAGATCCCTGTAAGCCAGTATTTGATGCTTTTGGCTGAGAGGTGGTTGACTGAGTGAGGGCGGTCCTCTCTTTTTCATTTGTCATTTTATGGTTCATTTCATTTTTTCTGAAGGAAATTTCATTTTATGGTTCATTTTTTGTGGATAAAGTTAGGCACTAACCTTGTGCTGCAAGCTGAATTCTCAAATCAAATTTTCACAAATGTTGATTTGAGGTTTAGTCTCGACAAAGTCAAAGACCTAAACTGAGCTCTCATTCTCAACACTTCTTCTTTTTTTCTAGTTCATAATTTGCCGTTCAAATAATGCGATAATGCAAAGTCTATCACATTCTGCATGCATATAATTTGAGCTGAGATACTCCACCTGAGTAAACACGGGGTACATGACAGTGTAGAGGGCCATTGAGGCTGGGGAGGTGCTGTCTGCTGTGCCGCTCATGTTCTTCATAAGCATTCTTCAGAAATCAATCGCTGTTTGTGTACACGTCAAAGCATCCAACATTCACTCACTCATAGAAACAGACAGAATGGGGACACAAGGTAATCTGGAGGAAAAGAAAACAGGTAAAATAAAATGTCAGATTTAAATATACTGTAATCACAAGGGATGCACTGATCTGGCTTTTTTACTCCACATTTACATACAGTAAAATGTATGTATGCATATATATATGTACATTTATATATATATATATATATATATATATATATATATTAGTGTTTTTTTATTTCAAAAAAAGACCCCAGGAAAACAAGCTGACCTTTGGGTCCAGCTAACGGGGATCATTAATAAACAAAACTGAACTGTGGCTTTCATTATCTGGTGATACCTGCTATGAGCCGGTACCAGAGAAGACTCTCAGAAAATACCTCATACAGCTCCTATTTTGTTACTAAATGCAACCAACTGTTTAACTATTATAATGGGGAAAAAAAATTATACAAGAAGTAACTAAAGCGTCGAGTAAAAGTTCAAACTCGACTTTCACGGTTAATATTACCCAATATGTACACTGTAAAGAATTTTCTTGTGGTAAATAGCTGGCAAATATGGTTCCAGGAATTTACCGTTTTCTAAACCGTTGTTAATTTTAACGGTTAAAGAATGTTTCACTGAATCACTTTGTGAAAAACTGTATGTTCCTGTTAATTCACATACAACAAAAACAGCATTATAATGTTAATGTAGTATTATTACACCATATGACTGTTTCTGTTTCTAATTAGTTTCAATGAACAAAAAACTACGCAGTTTAATTTGTTTTACTCTAAAGAACACATCTTTTCATAAAAAATTTACATCTTCAGTTTATACAAGAAAGTAGTTGAAATCTTTACTTCTATAACATGCTTAATGCAAAATCATCATTCTGACTAAAGCAGTAGTTTACATGTGTAAGAGGTACCTTTTACACTCATGGTTGCTCGCTAGCAAAAATTTCCCAGCATTCCAAATATACAATAAGTTTATGTTAAATTACGGTAATAATACCATAAAATCAAATGTGATTATCACAATGTGATTTTATGGTAATATTACCATTGTAACGTTTTTTTGTAATCACATTATAATTGTGGTAATAAAACGCCACTGGAGGTTTTTTAACCAATTTATACTTAAATTTGCATGTTTTGCATGTTATTTCAAAATAACATTTGTTTAATGTTGAAATTTCATTGGAATTTTACAGAAATTTGTTACAGTGTATTTTTATTATATCAGTCAACATAATCAAACCAATTCCAGATCCAACATTATACCCAATACTGGCCCTGATTTTTGGTACCAGTGATGTATTGGTTCATCCCTAGTCATTGTAGGATGAATTCTTTTCAAGTCGGTTTGCTTTGCATGACTTAAATTACAATTTGGCCAACTGTTTGTCGATAGAAGAATGAAATTGTTGAGAGGTGTGGCGCCAAACACACCCACTGCACTCAATAGCAGAGAATAGTTTTGCCCTAAACATTTAACTGCTGGTTGGTCACACCTTCTCACAACATAGGCACAGCACATATCTTTTAACAAAAAGAGTTTCTACGCATTCAAAAACGGGAAAATAAAATATATCTAAAGGAGCAACATTAAAAAACATTATCAATAAACATGAACACATCTTATAATTCAGAATGTTACTTAATGACAGCCTTGTGTTGCACTTTGCCACGCACTTAAGAGATAGTTAATCTCATAAATGAGTCATACTGCTGTTATAGGCAGCATATTTTTTTGTTGTAATAGAAAACATAAAATGCATTTGAATTTTAAACGGGATGAGTATCTACCAAATCAAACAGAGTTAGGCAACACGTATGTTCAAACCATTATATTGAGTTATTATAACCCATTCCATACTCAGTAGACAATTTCTAGCGTATTCATATAGTATATTTAAATGTAATCGAAACAGCAACTTACCCAAAACAGAGAATATGGGGCCACTATAGAAGGCAGTCCGTAAAACTTGCAAGTCGCGTTTATGGAAAGAATCAGTTTACAACAGGTGCGTCTGCGTACTACCAGCTAATATGCTAATATCCGTACACACGACTTTACTTCCGCCACTATATTATACAAATAAAAATACGCTCATTAAATGGTTGGGAGTTCGCCTGTGCTCTTGCCTTTATAATGCTATGTCCAGGAAGCCTTTTAAGAACAGCCCTAAAGTAAAGATAGGACGGTGTCCAGCAGTGTCTCTGTAGAATATGTGTAGTTTTTCGATGACTGGAACTAACGTCTCGGTTAAGGACCGCGGTAAAGTGGCCCGCATATTTCAGCTCTATGAAAAAGCGGCCCGCATCGGGGAAGAGACGGTGCGCGTTTTATTGACATTTTACGGTAATAGGAGTTTTCTCATCTAACAGAAAGCGCGCTGGGGAGACACGTTTTTGTGATTAAAACCTTATATGCAAAGTACGTAAAAACGTATTCTCGTGTACAGCGATGTGAAGAAATGAAGAGATGTTGTGACTTCTAAACGTGACATCTCCCCCTTTGAAAACAATGGAATATCCCCAAAATACAATATCTTTTTTTTTTTTTTTTGTAAGAAATAAACATGTCTGTAAACACAAAAGATTATCTCTGCATCTTGCCTTATCTATGTAAAACAATATTACTGCATTAATTTCAGAACAAAACATTTTAACAAAACTGTTTAACTTTACAGTGTCCAGTTAATGCCTGTATCTCAGAGGAGCTCTAATAACTCGGCCTCTAGATGTGACCTGGACATCTTTCCGTGGTGTTTCATGCACTGACAGTTTTGTTGTCACAACACATTGTCCAGAATCCAACTCACTGTCCTCCTGAGTGGCATCCACAGGGCTGGTTTGTTTTGGTGAGCTTGCATGTGGCAGTTCTTGTGGTGGTAGTGGGCTGATTGAATCCGGAACTAGTTGAATGTGTCTCCTATTTCGACGTGAAATAGTCCCATTGTCCATTTTAACCAAGTATGAACGTGGCTCATCACTCTTTCCAAGAACTTTTCCTGAAGATTTCCAAGTTTTCTCTCCATCCAACTTTACTTTGACGTCTTGTCCTGGAAACAGCTCAGCCAGAGGTCTCGCTGAGTGGTGGCGGTCATGGAAGAACTTATAAGAAGACTTGGACTGCTGGTCCTTTCTCAAAATGGCTTGCTTGTCAATAGGTACACTGTTCATCTTGTTCTCCAGCATTGGCAGTGTTGTTCTGATGTGCCTGCCTGTCATAACTACGGCTGGACACACGCCTGTAGCAGTGCATGGGGTTGCTCGGTAACACATCAGAGCCAAATGCGGGTCAGGTTGTTTCAGGATGTGTTTTGCTGTTTGTACAGCACGCTCTGCGGCACCGTTTGATTGGGGAAAGTGTGGACTGGAGGTTACATGTGCAAAGCCATATTCTGCACAAAAATGCTTGAATTCCTCTGAAGTGAATTGTGTAGCATTATCGCTGACCAGCTCCAGCGGTATTCCCCATCGGACGAACATATTTTTGAGTTTGCCAATAACTTGTCTACTTGAAATATTGGACAGGTTTGCTATCTCAATGTCTCTGGAATAGTAATCTGTCACAATAAGGTAGTTTTGTTTTTCAAACTCACATAAGTCAGCTGCAATGCGCTGCCAAGGGCCCTTGTGGCAGAGGGGTGGTGAGGAGAGTCTCATGTCTTTGTGAAGGTTTGTTTTCAATACAAAACCTGCATGTGGTAATAAGCTGAGTAATCTCTTTGCTGATACCCGGCCACCACACTGACATCCTTGCACGGGCGCGACACTTAGTTAGTCCTTGGTGACCCTCATGTATGCGTTTTAACACATTTGACCTGAGCGCAGTTGGTATGACTATCCTGTCCTGAAACAATATTAGTCCATCTGCCTCAGAGAGTTGTGTGCGCGCTGAATAGTAACTATGAAGCGAAGGATGTAATGCCTCTCTTAAGGGCCAGCCATTCTGTATCAGGCTGGTAACTTTCACTAACTCTTTGTCATGTAGAGTAGCTGCTTGGATTTCCCTCAGCCTTTGTGGTGACACTGGTGCATTTGACACTACAGATTGCAAATGTACTTGTACCTCTTTGTCGGTGCTGCTATCACTTGTGCAGCTCAGTGGATTTCTGGAGAGCGCGTCTGCTACGGCCAGTTGTTTCCCTGGAACGTGCTCTGCAACCACCTGAAATCTCAGAAGGCGCATTAGAAGCCTTTGACACCTGGGCGGGGCTTTGTCTATGTCATAAGTGTTAATTAATGGAACCAAAGGTTTATGATCTGTTTGCAACCTGAAACCATCCATCCCTTGTACATAGCGTGCAAATCTCTCACATGCCCATACCCCAGCTAAGCACTCTTTTTCGATTTGTGAGTATCGTTTCTCAGAGTCCGTTAAAGTGCGGGAACAGAAAGCTACTGGCTTTAACTTGCCCCCATTCTCCTGAAGTAGAGTGGCTCCTAACCCATAGCCGCTGGCGTCTGCGCTAATGACAGTCTCTCGTTGTGGATCATAATATGCAAGTGCCGGTGCTTTTACAAGCATAGCTTTAACCTCCATGAATGCTTGTTCTTGTGCATAATCCCATGTCCACCTGCTCTCCTTTCTGAGAAGTTCCGTTATTGGATGTAGTTTTGATGATAGATCAGGCAGAAAACGACCCACATAGTTGATGAGACCCAGGACCTGGCGCAGCTCTTCCACATTTGTTGGGCTTTGAATTTGGGTGATTGCCTTTACTTTGTCTGGGTCCGGCTTCATGCCCTCAGCACTGATTATGTGGCCAAAGTACTGTATTTCTGATTTCCCGAAATGGCATTTTTGTTTGTTTAGTTTTAGTCCACTCTCTCTGATGGTCCTCAAAACTGCACTCAAGTGTCTGTCATGCTGCTCCTTTGTTGTCCCGAAGACTAAAATGTCATCCATCACCACGACAACCCCATCGTGTCCTTTTAGCAGCTCTGACATTTGTCTTTGAAATATTTCTGGGGCGGAAGTGATTCCGAAAGGTAAGCGCTTAAAGCAGAATCTGCCCATTGGCGTGATGAAAGTTGTTAACTTCCTGCAGCCCTCTTCCAGAGGTATCTGCCAGAATCCACATGATGCATCCAACTTTGAGAATACTTTCGCTCCTGTAAGCTTTGGGGCGATATCCTCCAATGTTGGCAACATGTACCTTTCGCGCTTTACTGCATTGTTTAGACGCTTTAAATCAACGCAGATTCTCACTTTTTCACTGTTTTTCTTTTCAACTGGTACCATTGGGGCACACCAGTCAGTGGGCTCCGTGACTTGTTCAATGATATCCAGCTCTAACATGCGTTTTATTTCAGCCTCCACTTTTGGTAGAAGAGGGAACGGCACTCTACGTGGTGTAGTTAGGGAATAGGGCTCGGCATTGGCTTTCAGTTCAATCTTGACTGGGTCACATTTGAGAAGACCAATGTCCCCGAACACATCCTCAACAATGTTTATGTTATCAAGTCTCTTGACCAGACCCATTTTCTTAGCTACACTCCCACCTAACAGGTTATGGACACATGGGCCACTTATAACAGTTATCCAAAACTTGTACTTTTGCCCTTTGTAGTAGCTTGTGGCCAGAAACTTGCCTATGCACTGTACTTTACCTCCAGGACTTGTTATTTGGGGTGATTTCCTCAACGTGACCAGACGGGGGCAGTGTTGTAACTTGTTAACTTCACTCTGTGCCATGACGGTGATGTCGGCCCCTGTGTCTATTTTGAACTCGACTCTGCTGCCATTCACAGGTAAGTTTACCAACCACTCCTCATCTGGACCGTTTTGCTCAATCATTTTGTCCTCTTTAATTGCTCCTAAGAAAAACGGATCATGTGTGTCTGTTTCTCTGGGAGTAACAGTGACTTCTTTCAGTGTTTTAGTGTAACACGCTACCTCAAAATGTCCCATTTTGTTGCATCTTCTGCACCTCTTGTTCTTTGCTGGGCATGGCTGAGTTCTACCGTGTTGTCTCTTGCAGCGTGAGCAGCTCTGTTGTTCGCGGTGATCCTCACGTTGGTAGTGCGCAGTTGATTTACTCTTTCTATCATACTGCCGCCTGCCTTGTCTCACTGCATCCAGAGTGCATTCCGCACGCATACTGATGTTCTGTTGCTTAATTTGTTCATTTTTTCTTGCTATTTGGATAGCTTTTTCCAGTGTGAGCTCCGTTTCTAGCTGTAGTTTTTGAGAGACATCACTGTCGGATATGCCAATAACAATCCTGTCTCTGATTTGCTCGTCTTTTATGGCTCCAAACTCACAGTACTGGAACAGTTCATACAAACTCGCAAAAACGCCTCCACTGATTCTCCGGGCTTCTGCACTCGCTTGTAAAAGCATGCACGGTCGTGAATGACGTTGCGTTTGGGCACAAAATGCTCCGTGAACTTAGCTATCACTTTTGAGTAGTCAAACCGTGACTGAGTCCTCTCTTCATCGTCACTATTTTCATCTTCGCTGTCACTATACACAAATGAATCATATATTGGCTCTGCTTCTCTTCCCAAAGCGTAGAGAAGTGTGTTGACTTGCACTTCGCCGCTGTCTCTGTTGAGCTTCGTAGCGACCCGGTACCGGTCGAAGCGGCGGCGCCATATTGGCCACTCTGCTGGTTTGGAAAAGTCAAACGTTTCTGGCGGTCCGAACTTTGCCATTGCTCTTATGCAGGCGTCCTGTCGTCGACCACTTCTGACACCATCTCGTGTACAGCGATGTGAAGAAATGAAGAGATGTTGTGACTTCTAAACGTGTACTTTATTCTCGTACAGAACCATAGTCACTCGTGACCAAACACATGTCTCCCTATGTCTCATGCCTGATGACGCACAATATAGTGGCCTATGGGCGTACATCATGACACGTATAATGTTGGCGAAGCTTGAGATTAGTCATACTTTAAAATTCAAAACATGAATTACAATCTTTTCAGACCTCATTCCCACTCTTTGAAAAAGAAACCCAATTTGGTGCTGTTGTGTGTTGTGATAATAAGAGAACTCGGAGAAAGGGTCAACTTTGAATTTAATAAAACACCGGCAGTAGGAGTAGTTTTCGGTTCCTCCTGTATGTTTGACCTTCAGACTGGATCAAGTACGATCTCGGCTCAACGCACATCTCTTTGACTATTCCGGTGCGGTCATATCCTTTTGGTGTTTGCAGTCTGACCAACTGTCCTTCCGACAAAGGCTTAAGAGCCCTGCTTGTCTTGTCATAATACACCTTTTGTGTCAGTCTTTTATTCAGAAGCTGTTCGCGCACTTCCTCAGGATTGAGCATTTTGGGAGCAAGCAGCTCTTTGGACACTGGAAGAGTGGAGCGTGTTTGCCTAGACATAATTCACCTTGGAGAGACCCATGAGGAAAATGCCGTTAGACTTATTAGATTTAAGCATGTTTATTGATTGAGCATGTTTGGCGCCCTAGGCCCGGGAGGGATGCTGTTGAGCACGGCGCTTGCTCGCGTGCATAATCCCCCCCGGGGCCTAGGCACTGGTGGCGGCAGAGGCAGTAGGCAAGCACGCTTTGGTGAGAAAAGGAGGAGGTGGGGCGGCGGAGGCTTGCAGGCTCCTTCTGATCGCAGGAGCCTGCGATCAGAAGAGTGAAGAATACAGGTATGGATGCCTTTGATTAGGAGTCCGATTGACAGCTCAGCGCAGCTACTCGGCCAGCTGCATCTGATAGAATCAGAAGATTAAGTAGATTAAGTAGAGATGAAGCATGACCGCCGAAGCGACCCTGAGAGCAAGGTGCGAGTCCAGCGCAGCGCGGCATCATCAGCCGGGCTGCATCCATTAGAAGCAGGATAAGCTACTGAGAGAGTGGGTTGCAGCAGTAGCAGTAGCAGTAGCAGCGGCAGCATGAAGCAGCAGCAGTATCCTTAGACAATAACAGTTGTAGCTGTTTAGTGTTTCAGTAAAAAGAGATGTAAAGTGAAGAGACGTCAAAGTAAATGAAGCAGCAGCAGCAGCAGTAGTTGCAGCAGCAGCAGTAGTTGCAGCAGTAGCAGTAGCAGCAGCAGCAGTTGCAGCATCCTTAGATAATAACAGCAATAATCCTGTATCAAGGCCACAGCAGTAGAATATTGTTGTAGCTGTTTAGTGTTTCAGTAAAAGAGATGTAAAGTGAAGAGAGATGTCAAAGTAAAGAAGCAGCAGCAGCGCAGCAGCAGTAGCAGTATGAAGCAGCAGAAGCAGCAGTAGCGGTAGCAGTATGAAGCAGCAGAAGCAGCACGACAATGCGATTCATACAAACAAACAGACGTGTCACGCCAGCGTGCGCCGCTTGTCTCCGTGAACCAGGTTACATACGTGTCTGAAAGAGCCGAGCCGTAGAGACAGGTGCAGCCTGGGAGCCCGCGGAGCGGCAGCGGCAGGAACGGCAGCAGCGGCACATGTAGTAGTAGGAGCAGCAGGAGCAGGCAGCAGGAACAGGCAGCAGCAGGAGCGGCAGCAGGAACAGGCGCAGCGGGAACAGGCATCAGCGGGAACAGGCATCAGCGGGAACAGGCATCAGTAGGAACGGGGAGCAGGCATCAGTAGAAGACTGGCAGCAGCGGCGGTCAGAACCGTGCCCATGGTTGTTTAAGAGCCTCAGGAAATAAATTAACCTGAATCCAAAACATTCCCATGCGAATAACAGATGTCTCCTGGAGCCATCTTGCAGCTTTGGTTATGGCAGATACGCATGAACGATGCTCCAACTCCACTTCACACTCATTGCAGATTTCTGCTGCACTTTCAAAATGCAACAACTGCAGTTTAGTTACCTAGTGACCCAGCTATTTAAATGCATGGCCCCTCCATTATCCCTCAGATAAATGAAATGTATTTAAATTAGTTTAACAGTAGTGACCTGCGAGTAATAGAATAATGCTGTAAGATGGTGCCGTGGCAAGAGCTCTGGTGTGTGCCGTCTGGAGCACTCTGGGGCAGTCTTGCAATTCTTCCAACGTGGTTTTACTGCAAGTGGCAGAACAAGAATCTGAATGAATGCACATTGCTCCTCTTATATCCCTCAGACGATAAAGAGTATTGCCATTTAATATGCATTGTCCCTCAGTTAGCTCAAACACATGTGAAAACGGAGCCTGCAGACCAAGCACGGGGTGAAAACTGGCGCCTGCAGTCCAGTGCGCAGGGAATAATCCGTCCGCAGATCAGCAACTCACCACCGCATATGCCAGAAGACGTGGGAAAGCAACGGGACAACGCGGCACCGCCAATCGGAGGCAGGGACACGCACGGCACCGCCAGACAGTCTGCACGCAGCAGCAGACCAGAGGAGACGAGCAGCATAGAGCCCGCGGAGGGGCCCCGCGGAGCAGCCCGCAGAAAGAGCCCGCAGAAAGAGCCCGCAGAGGAGGAGAGCGGCGGAGACACAGCAGGTGCAGGGACGCGGAGGAGGAGCAGATCACAAGCAGCCAGACTGAGAACAGCCGGGTCACGCGCACGAGCAACACGTGAGCAGAAGCAACCCCTCCAAAACAACGCATGCATTGCGAACAGGTGCGTTAGCGACATGCACCTTGCAGACTTCAGAAGGCCGGGAAGTGGGAGTCTCCGGCTTTTAACTTGCTGTCCTGGTGGTTATTGGTTGGCTGGATGTGGGCGTTGCTGGTCTGATGAGCCGAGGAAGAGCAGCCTGTAGATCTGGGCAAGCAGCAGCCGGGTCTACCACAGTGAACTTTCGCGAAAGCTCCATGTCTTTGTGCTGGAGATCCAAGTTTAGAGTCTCTAGGTACGTTCCTTAAGTTCAGCAGGCAGAGAAACACATCTGTTTTGTCCCTATGTGATTTCTCCATGAGGTTCTTAGCACTACGGACGGCTCTCTCTGCTAGTCCATTCGATTGAGGATACTCTGGGCTGCTAGTAACATGAGCAAAGTCCCATTGAGCTGCAAAGTCCTTAAAGCACTGACTTGTGAACTGTCGTCCATTATCTGTGATCAGAGTGTGAGGGGCTCCATGGACCGAGAAGTGCCTTTTTAGTTTGCAGATCACATTAGCCGACGTGATGTTGTTTAACAGGTCAATCTCGAACCAGCCCGAGAAGGAATCCACGAGCACCAGATACGGCTGGCCGTGCCATTCAAAGATGTCAGCAGCTACAGTCGACCAAGGGAGCTCAGGAATGGTGTGCAGGAGCAACGGCTCTTTTTGCTGATGTGGTTTAGTGCTATTACACACCGAGCATGCCTGAACCTTGTTATCAATGTCCATTGTCATTGTAGGCCAAAACACAATGCCTCTCGCCCTCCGTTTTGTAGCTTCCGAGCCAGGGTGGCCCCTATGTACAATGTCAATGTATGTCTTCTGTAATGAATGTGGAATTACAGTTTTCTGACCCTTCATAACAATACCATCCTCAACAGCAAGCTCATCTCTAAAGGGAAAGAAAGGATGCATTGCAAAAGGTAGATTGTGTAGTTTACTTGGCCAGCCATGTCTGATGACGCCGCTGAGGGTCTGGAGAGTCCGATCAATGGCTGTGTGTTCTCGCAGTTCCTGTAAACGAGCAGATGACACATAGCTGACAGTCATTACATCAAAATCATCCACCTCGTCTTCAAGTTGTGCCGTGGAGCTTGTGGGAGCCCTGGACAATACAGGGTTTTTGCCGTTATTATCTACCCGGATGCTGCAGCTGCTGCTGCCGCGGCTGTACAGGTCGTTGCCGTTATTACCTGAGGTTACTGCCGCTGGCCGCTGCTGCTACAGCTACTGCTGCAACCCACTCTCTCAGAAGCTTATCCTGCTTCTAAGGAGGCAGCCCGGCAGAGTAGCCGCGCTGCACTGGACTCGCACTGTGCTCCCAGTCGCTTCGGTCGGTCATCGCATCATCTCTCTACCTTAATCTTCCGATTCTATCAGATGCAGCTGGCCGAGTAGCTGCGCTGAGGACCTCAATCGGACTCCTAACTCAAAGGCATTCCATACCTGTGTTCTTCACTCTTCTGATACGCAGGCTTCCCCATCATGCGCCCATCCTTCAGCGGCAAATGACTCCGGCTCATCTCCAGGTACATGTCTGCCCTCCTCCGCAGCTCTTCCTGGCGCGCCTTCCATGGCTTCTCTGCAATAAGCGTTTTTACTACGCTCACAATCAAACCTTCCGTTCGCGGTCCTGAGACAACAGGAGACGGCTTTTCCCCGACCTTTCCTACTGTCCTGATTACCTACTCTCCAACCCAAGATTCTAAGCGTAAGGCGCCTCAACATCAATAGGACCCTCTCCGATGTGTCTCTGCCCCTCCAGGGTCTCCGCTTCTACACGGACGTGCCCCCTCCGTGGGTTTGGAGGGATTCTTCCAGGACCATTGGGTTGCCGGGCCGTGGCCGCGACTTTCCACCGCAGCAATCTCCTCTGCCCTAGCACGAGATAATTCCAGTGGTTCGTGGCCTGCGCGCTGTGAATCACGCGTGGCGGAGAAAAGAGGATCTCGCTCATGTGTGATAATCTCGACGTAGTGGAACTTACACACAAGGTCGCTCTCGTTCACCCAACATTATGTACCCCTGACCCTTTCAACCTTCATCTCAAAAAACAAAGAAGTGAACCAATAGATTCTGGTGGCGGCAAGCATTTCTCGTCAAACACTCTCTCCGCTGGCCGCAGGCGTCTGACGGAACCGTATGCAGCGCTCACGTGCCAGCGCGCAAAGATAACCCCTGCCGCAGCCGCCGTTGATCGTGATGCCGAGCGCCTCACTCCCGCACTCAAAGGAAACCGCATATAACGGTCACAGCACATAGTGATAAGCGTCATAAAAGCGTCAGTGATAGCGTCATCGCGTCCAGTGATAGCGGTCAAGCGTCAGTGATAAGCGGTCATAGCGTCAGTGAATCCAGCGGTCATAGCGTCATGATAGCGGTCATCAGCGTCAAGTGGTAGCGGTCAGAGCGTAGTGTTCGCGGTCACTAGCAAAGCAAAAAATGGTTAGCGCAAAATGGTTCACAGCATAGAAGAGCGGTCACAGCATAGAATAGCGGTCACAGCATAGCGATAGCGGTCCACCAAGCATAGCGATAGCGGTCACGAGCATAGCGATAGCGGTCACAGAGAGCGAATAGCGGTCACCCCATCTAGCGATAGCGTCAACACATATACAATACATACAATACAATTTATTCTTGTATAGCCCTAAGGTCACAACAGAAGTCATCTCAGAGGACTTAACAAAACCATGACATCATCCCAACACCAACACAAGTCAGAAATACAACAGTTAAAAAACACATGAAGAATACATAATAAAGCACACACAGAAAAAATGTCCATACATGCTAGGCCGTAATAAGCGGGTCACAGCATAGAGTACCCACGACGCTGTTCCCTGCAAACCAGGCTGCAAAACTCCATCAACACACACACCCGACCCAACCTTTTTGGGGATTGACGCGCTCCATCGCAGAGCCTCTCCGATCTGAGGCCGCACCGGGCCTACGGCGCCAAACCACCTCAATAAATACTCATGAACAACCATTCGTTTCTCGGTCTCTCCAAATTGAAATAATAGCTCGCGAAAATTCCAATTTGGTAGACGTCAGCCAAAAGCTCCCCCCTCCAGGCCGGTTCGCATCCCCCAGCCTATAGCTCAGCAAACGCCCCCGTTCCCAATCATCCTGGCCGGACAGGCCAGCCGCTTAAAAAGCGAGAAACTCCCACTCTCCGGCTTCTCGAAAGCCTCGCAACCAGCCGCCTCCCCTCCTCCTCCTCTTCACCCTAGCCTCCCAATCTGCCCAATCTGCCTCCATCTGCCTCCAATCTGCCTCCACTCTGCCTCCAATCTGCCTCCAATCAGCAAAATGGCCGCCACCAGTGCCTAGGGTCCGGGGATTGTACGCGCTCCACGCAGAGCCTCTCCGATCTGAAGGCCGCACCGGGTGCCTAGGGCGCAAACCAAACCACCTCAATAAAACTCATAACATTTTCGTTTCTCGTCGCTCCAAATGAAATACTGCCATTACTCTGGCAAGTAAAACAAGGCTATCAGCACGCTGTCACTATCACTCGTCTGTGTAAGAAGACCAACGGAGCTAGCCAAGCTCAATTAACAATACATATCTATCAATCAACACCATTAAACGACAATCGGACAATACAGTACACATAAAATCCTTAACACACATGCACGAATGATTTCAGAATTTGCTGTTAACGTTTTCCATGACAAAAATACTGTTTCAATGTGACAAAAAAGCGATTGCAAAAACCCCGGAGTTACCGATGAAACAACTAGCTAGCTTAGCTGTTTTACCTGCCTAGCACGCCCCGGTGAAACCTTTGGGAGCTAACGATTTTATTTGCAGTACATTAATACATTTCGAATTACAAGGTTGTCTAATATTTGTTCACATTTTTTTATTCAAATATTTTGTTCATGCATGTTTTATTTAGAATTATATCGAATTTTTGAAGTCGAAGCCCTGGTGTTAAGCAGCGCTGTAGAGGCTCGAGACGCAGACTGTTCGCTGCTCGTTCTGTGAGCGGAAGGAGAAAGAGCGGCCCGCTCAGACTCTACACATGCACTTTATCACTGCTTGTACATGTCATGGAGAGCTGTGTACAGGCGGACTATGTCTGCCTCCTCCTTGGCTGACAAAGCAGTGGTGGTGCGGTTCAGGCCACTCTCCCATCCCACAACACCTCTGGAGTCACATTGGCTGGTCTGAAAAGAGACAAAACAAGAAAATGAATGTCTCTTTCTATGTGTGCAATGGTGCTTTCACATTAATTTATGTTCTTCAAATGTAACCACATTTCACTCAGGCTAGCATTTTGTTTTTGAGAAAGTGTTATTGACCTTGGGTGTGACAGGTTCAGTGGGTTCAGTGTCCCCCTCCAACAACTGGTCCCTCGCATCACCAGCCAACAGCTCTGGCATGTGTATGGGGGCATATGCCTCCTCCTCCTCCTCCTCAAGCACCTGTGAGGGGTTTTCAGGGGCAGGTGCAGGAGCAAGCAGGTCCCCTCTGTTGGTCTGGCCCAATAAATACTCCACCGCCGTGCACTCGTCTGAAACCAGTATAAACACAAACACAAGATGACCAAAGTATATAAACACATCCATCCATTCACCTCCTACAGTTAGTACAATACTAGCGCCCAAGATGTAATACTCTGGTCTACAAATGTTGCTCTGAGATCTCTCTCACCAGTGGGTTTCCCAGGTGGGGTAAACTCTGGCACTAGAGCACAACCAAGGACACGCTGGCTCAGGCTGTTAAGGTGGGACATCAGGCGGACGTCAAAGCTCCGCAGAGCCGAGGCCCCCTCCACAGCTACTGCCTCCTTGGCCCGAGCCATGTTCCACCTGGATAGCCCCTCCAGCATGTACATCTGCATATGAGATGCATTGCACTGCCAGCCTAAGAAAAACAACACTTTGTTTAGTAAAGTGAATACATATGAATGCCAAACTGTCGTAATAACTGTGTTATTTGTAATCATTACAGCACATTGTGTGTCATATCACAAAAGAACATTAAAAACATACAATACAATATCAATGCAAATGTACCTGGGATAAAAGCGCACTGGTGTCGGTGAAAACTCTCCAGGGAGGAGGACCCCCTGGCACACCTAAGGACGTCCAGCTCTTTGCCGCCCTTATGGAGTGTCCCCACCTTGGTGTAGAGCTTTAGACCAGGAGGGTCTTGGAGGCACTCCAGGTGCTTCTGCTGCACCTCCCACACATGGTGCATGGTGTCATGGTTCACCAAACGCAGCCCTGTGGTGTCAGTGAGCTCCCACACTGACTCCAGCAGCCCTGAAATCATGCGTCGTATGTCCTCCACGCCACGCGACCTCCATCTGCAGTGTCTCCTCTGTTCCCCTGAGGTGATGGTTGCCAAGAGCTGCTCCTCCGTGGGCTCATGTCCACTGTGGCTGCTCTTCCACTCCCCTCTCTTGGCCTCCTTCAGGCCTTGCACATCCTCCTGGTCCCATTTAAAAATGCAGGAGGACAGCTTGGCACAAAAAGGTGCCATAAAGAGGGTGGTGTTCTGTGGTGAGGCCACGGTTGAAGCGCCTCATAAAGTGGAAACTGTCCAAGCGCACTGCAGACCTCCATGGATGGAACAGTTTGGTCACAGAAGACACACCTGTGAGAGACAGCCATTTTAATGACATTCACAACACAATGAACATGTTCTATCAGTGTGTGTGTGCCTGTCTGTGTATGTGTCTGAGTGTGTGTGTCTCTGCATGTATGTGTGTGTGTGCCTGTCTGTGTATGTGTCTGAGTGTGTGTGTCTCTGCATGTTTGTGTGTGTGCCTGTCTGTGTATGTGTCTGAGTGTGTGTGTCTCTGCATGTTTTGTGTGTGTGTGCCTGTCTGTATATGTGTCTGAGTGTGTGTGTCTCTGCATGTTTGTGTGTGTGTGCCTGTCCGTGTATGTGTCTGAGTGTGTGTGTCTCTGCATGTTTGTGTGTTGAATGAGGGAGAGGTGAGTGAGAGACTGAGATGCAGAGGCACAGTTTTTCCACATGTATTTGATAAAGGAGACATGTTCAGTCCCGGTCCACATAGATGACCTCAGGTTCATCTTTGCCCACGTTCTTATAACGGGTGATAATGCCCTGGCACAGCTCTTCCAACCCTGCACCTTCACCCGTCGTCAGAACAGAGTTCAGAACCTGCCCAAACTCGTTACCGATGTTTGTCATCCATGCAGCGCTGCCCCCTATTCCACCAGCCAGCTTCTTGGTGACCTGTAATCCAAACATAAGAAGTAAATACATTTATCTTTTGTAAATATATATGTTACATTTCATTTTTTAAATTATAATTATTGAAACCCTAACCTTCTTGGTCGAATCCATCTTAAGAATTCTACCATAGGTAGAAGTGATGACTCCCTTCATTTCCTCCACATGGCTGAGGATGTCGTTGGAGTGGACAGTCTCAAACCACTGAGCAAATAGAAGGGGCCTAAAGGGCAGTGGAGGAGGATAGGCAGCTGCAGAGGGGACAAAGGTAGCCATCTTCTGATGGCTCTCACAGTCCGAGAGGTATCGGATGGCCTGACGTGCCCACTCCTCGCTGTGCACTTCCTCTATTGCCGCTTGGAAGTAGGAGGAGCTGTTTCCGCTGGTCCTCGGCTTCAGGAAGGTCATACATTTCCTGTCCAGAGCCAGGTGTGTAGTGAGGACAGCGGGAAACATGCTCCTGTGGGCTACATCCAGCTGCGTGAGGATGTCCTGGCTCCATGGGCAGACCGGCAGAGAGCACTTGTTGCAACGTGGATTGTCTCCTCCCACCAGGTAGTAGCGTCTATCCACGTCAATCACCTCTCTCACCTTCCTGTAGATCCCAGAGCTGTTTATCTTTCGGGAACATTGAGGGCATTTTAGAGGAATCCCCCGCATCCTCATTGGTGCCCAGATGAACAGCCTTTGTCTACAGTACCAGCCAGGCTTAGGAGGAGATGGTTTGGGCTCTAGAGGAGGGTAATACCAGGAGGTTTGGAGCTTCTGTTTTAATTGTCCTGTAGGCCCATAGAAGCACTTAGTTATCCAGACCTGATCTGCTTCCTGGATCACTCTCCTAAATGGCTCAGGAAGAAAGCCAAGAAATGGATGGTGCTTTGAACGGAGTGTGGGGTGGCATGGCAGAACTGCATGAGGGGAGCGGAGATGGTGATGGTGTTGGAGATGGTGTTGGTGCTGGTGTCGGTGGCAACACAGTTGGTTTTTGTGGGGATGGCTGCATAATGGCTGCATTCATGCTGCATAATGAACCTGTTGGATGTGAGTCAGAAGACCAACAGCACCCTGCACCTTGGCCCCGCAGCTGTCACAGGTCTCCTCCGTGTGATGGTCAAGCAGATGCTGTGAAAAGCGCTCTCAATCCACAAGCTGCTTGCACTGGAAGCACTGCACTCCGGGTGCTGCAGCTGATGCTCCTGCCTTTGTGTCTCCTCGGACTCCCTCTTCCTCTGTGCTGACTCGGATGGACCCAGCAGCCCCACTGGACGCAGCAGCCCCACTGGACGCAGCAGCACCACTGGACCCAGCAGCAGTACTGTTCCCAGCCCGACTGGACCCAGCAGCAGTGGACGCAGCAGCACCACTTGACCCAGCAGCACCACTGGACCCAGCAGCACCACTGGACCCAGCAGCACCACTGGACCCAGCAGCACTGGTCCCAGCCCGACTGGACCCAGCAGCACTGGACGCAGCAGCACCACTGGACCCAGCAGCACCACTGGACCCAGCAGCACCACTGGACCCAGCAGCACTGGACCCAGTGCCTGATGACAGATGTGCTGGCTAGGAGAGAGCACAGAAAATCAACACCAGAGGAAACAGCAAACAATCAATCAATAAGTAAAAAATGAGTCCTACCTTGTGGAACCCGCAGGTGCACTGAAGGCTTCTCCCAAACAGATCCTTCGTGTTGCTCTGCAGGGGGCAAGCATCGATCCTCTCCAAGGCTTTCTTCCATTTTTTGGCCCCTGGCCGTTTGCCAGTGGAAAAGTGGTAGAGGCCCTGGGCATGTTTGGCACAGATGTCCCTCCAGTAACTCTCTGGCTTTCCTGTCTTCGTCATCTGCATCCATTGAATATAAAAGTGGTTAGTGTCAAACTACACGTAAATAGTTAGCCATGTGCAGCAGAGTAGATATCAAACCAAAGTCACTAAACATGAATAAATGACCATGTTAAGTAGCCATGTGTAGGTAGTGTACAGTAGCTAGTGTAGCTAGTGTAGTGAATACACTACAGTAAGTAGCTATGTATTGGAGATATTGATTCTGGGGCAGATCAACTTTTGGCTCTGCTCAGACACATGACAAAGAAATAAACACTGTGGCACACATCAAGGGCAAAATCTGAGCTCATATTTGATTGACTGCGGAACCTTCCGCAGTCAACCATTGGTTTTGTATTTCTTTATTCCGTCATTTTTTTTGACACGTTTCACAGCTTTCACATTTTCAACAATTTCCACAAGTTATACATCAAAACGTTCCACATGTTTGGGAGATTATTGCTATTACTTTTGGGACTTCAGCGATTTCCGGTTTTTCCGCAATCGGACAAAAATCTGCATTGAGAATTCTGCAATGCATTTTAATAGGCCCATGCATTTTAATAGGACTTCAGCTCTTTCAGACATTTCTACAGTTTCAATGATTCAACAGTTTCAAGGATTCAACAGTTTCAAGGATTTCAGCAGTTTCAAGATTTCAAGAGTTTCAAGGACTTCAACAGTTTCAAGGACTTCAGCAGTTTCAAGGACTTCAGCAGTTTCAAGGACTTCAGCAGTTTCAAGGACTTCAGTGTAATCATGCAACCTAATAGGGATTTTTCCATGTAAACCAGTATAATGCAACTTAATAGGGATTTTTCCATGTAAACCAGTATAATGCAACTTAATAGGGTTTTTTCATGTAAACCAGTATAATGCAACTTAATAGGGTTTTTTTTCATGTAAACCAGTATAATGCAACTTAATGGGGATTTTTCCATGTAAACCAGTATAATGCAACTTAATAGGGGTTTTTACATGTAAACCAGTATAATGCAACTTAATAGGGTTTTTTCCATGTAAACCAGTATAATGCAACTTAATAGGGATTTTTCCATGTAAACCAGTATAATGCAACTTAATAGGGGTTTTTACATGTAAACCAGTATAATGCAACTTAATGGGGATTTTTCCATGTAAACCAGTATAATGCAACTTAATAGGGGTTTTTACATGTAAACCAGTATAATGCAACTTAATAGGGTTTTTTCCATGTAAACCAGTATAATGCAACTTAATAGGGATTTTTCCATGTAAACCAGTATAATGCAACTTAATAGGGTTTTTTTCATGTAAACCAGTATAATGCCACTTAATAGGGTTTTTTTCATGTAAACCAGTATAATGCAACTTAATGGGGATTTTTCCATGTAAACCAGTATAATGCAACTTAATAGGGGTTTTTACATGTAAACCAGTATAATGCAACTTAATAGGGGTTTTTTACATGTAAACCAGTATAATGGAACTTAATAGGGGTTTTTACATGTAAACCAGTATAATGCAACTTAATAGGGATTTTTACATGTAAACCAGTATAATGCAACTTAATAGGGTTTTTTACATGTAAACCAGTATAATGCAACTTAATGGGGATTTTTCCATGTAAACCAGTATAATGCAACTTAATAGGGGTTTTTACATGTAAACCAGTATAAAGGATAACAGTTTAAAGGATATCAGGAGCTTCAAATACTTCAGGAGTTTCAAAGATGTTTAAAGTATTTTAACAGTTTTTTTCAGCAAGGATTTTTCAGCTAAATTCCACATTAGATCTGTTTCGCAGTCAATCGCAATGGCTTCAGCCATTGCAACGGTTTCTAGTGTATATTGTTCATCATTTTCCTGTTGTGCACCTTTTTGTGAAGCTCTTTTGTCAACAACAGTTGTTAGTAATGTGCTATAAAAATACATTTGTTTTGATTTGATGACCAGGCTATATTAAAGAAAAAATACTATTCCTCTGACCAGCAATAATAATAGTAATTTATAGTGTGGAATCTATATGTGTTGGACTTTGGAGCTCTGTAATTACTGTATTACTGCTAAACATAATTATCTGAAGGTATTTATTCTAACCCACATTGCTACTAGTCATTAATGTGTCAATAATATCTAAGTGATGACGTCTCTGTTCTCATCCACATTGACACACATCATATTCAAAGTTCTGTCTGCCTTTGTTCATCTGGAAGGACTCGTAAATAACCTGTAACTGGGGTTACAGTAATAAGAATAATAACTGGGGTTACAGTAATAAGAATAATAACTGGGGTTACAGTAATAAGAATAATAACTGGGGTTACAGTAATAAGAATAATAACTGGGGTTACAGTAATAAGAATAATAACTGGGGTTACAGGTGCGATCGCGGCTGTGTCTGTTCTCTACAATAGTAATAATATAGTAATAATGGTAACAGGAATAACAGTAATAAGAATAATAGCCACACAGTGCTAATACGTACACAGTCAGAAGCTAGGTTTGAAAAGCAGCTCCGAGACGCAAAAGTTGAAATATAAGTTTAATAACATGTTAATACGATATTCTAGTTTTTTTCCCACAGTTTAGCATTGGGCTAATATGTGGTGTTTACGTTCGGCTCATGTTTGGGATCGCGATGATATTCAGTTTATATGAGGCGTTTGTGAGAACTAATAAAGTGTCATCACTTAACGTTCTCTCGCTGTATATGCCGTAAGACAGATGGCGGCGACTCAAAACTTTTCCATTCGCTCTAGACACGCCCCCATTTTCGTCAGGTAACGTCACGTGACCTCCTGTATGTTCGGACTGCGTTCGGACTTTGCCGAAAAACCTTTGATCTTGTTCGGATTGTGTTCGGACCTTTTGTTATGTGTTAGGACCTTGTTCGGACCTGGAGACAGTCCATTTACTGGAGGGTACGGACTATCTCAGTGCCAATGAAGTGTCACAGTCTAGTAGTAATTTCACACTCCCTGTACACGACCTTGTCATCTTGAATATCCTTGAAAAAAGAAGGAATACCAAATTATAAACAACTTACAGCGTTGAAACGTACCCGCTTTGACGTCACCAAGGGCTGTGAAGTTTTTTTGTCTCTAAGGGCGTTGTTATGGGGTTATTCCGATTTGGGGGGATCAGACAAAAAAAACAACAACTGATTTTGAAACCTTTAGTAGTTCTCTTCTAATATAAAATGGTATTAAAACTGTATTTCTAAATAAATCAAACCCGGCATAAGGTCTTTAACCATAGTTGCTTAAAAGTGTTATGAAATCTCACAATAAGATAAGATAAGAATTCATTTATTCGTCCCACAGTGGGGAAATTTTGATGTTGCAGTGCACATATAGGACAGTAATAAGAGCACACAGGGAGCACACACAATATATACAAAATAAGTAGTAGCTATGTTTCTTAGCTAACATAACTAGCTGTAGATGCTGAAAATGCTTCAATAACAGTCAAAATATATATATGTAGTAGTAGTGCAGTTATATACTATACAGTTAAATAGTGCAGGATAATAAGTAGATAAGGTAAAGTGACATTGTTCTGTGACATTCTGAAGTTGCAGTATTGCACATTGCACATGATTTAAGAATTTACTTATTTACAGATGAATGAAATTCACAGGCTCAGCAGTTCTTATTGTACAGTCTGACAGCAGCAGGAAGGAAAGACCTACGGAACCTCTCCTTCACACAGCGAGGGTGAATTAGTCTGTCACTGAAACTGCTCTCCAGAGCAGAGAGAGTGTCCTGCAGGGGGTGACAGTCATGGTCCAGCATAGATGTTAGTTTGCTCAGGACCCTCCTGTCCCCCACCTGCTGCACTGTGTCCAGGGAACAGCCCAGGACAGAGCTGGACGTCTTGATGACCTTGTCCAGCTTCTTCCTGTCCTTCTTTGTGATGCTGCTGCTCCAACAGACCACACCGTACAAGATGGCTGATGCCACCACAGAGTCATAGAAGGTCTTTAGGAGTGGCCCCTGCACTCCAAAAGACCTGAGCCTCCTCAGCAGGTAAAGCCGGCTCTGGCCCTTCTTGAAGAGGGCGTCTGTGTTATGAGTCCAGTCCAGTTTGTGAACACCCAGGTACTTGTAAGAGTCCACTCTCTCAATTCCCTTTCCCTGGATGTTCACTGGAGCTGGAGCGACAGAGTGACCACCACCATCTCCTTGGTCTTCTCCGCGTTGATGAGGAGGTGGTTCCGCTGACACCAGTCCACAAAGTCCTGAATTACTCCTCTGTACTCCGCGTCATCATCCTCGGAGCTGAGTCCGATGATGGCAGAGTCATCGGAGAACTTCTGGAGGACACAACCGTCCGTGTTGTGTCTGAATTCTGCAATGTAGAGGGTGCCTTCAACACCATCCAGCCGCGGCTTCTCAGGGACAAGCTGGAGACAGCCGGTGTGGACTACGACCTGTCCCAGTGGATCCTTGGGGTCTGTCTGTGAGGTGAAGACTCGCTCCATCACTCCACAGAGTTCGTCTGTGCAGGAGCGAAAAAGCCTGGAGCCGATGTTATCTGGTCCTGAAGCTTTCCTGGTCTTTATCCTCCTCATCTCTGACCTCACCTGAGCAGCAGTGAATGACAGGGTGGTGCGGGGGGGCTGGGTGGAGTGGGTGCTGAGTACGGAGGACGGGGGCTCAGTGGTGGGGGGGGAGTGTCTCTGGGAGGGCTGGGGGGCCGTGGGAGGAAGACTGTGGTGCCATGACAGAGGTGTGAATGATCGTAGTTGTTGCCCTTTGTTCCGCTGCCGAAGTGAGGGAGAGCGTCTGCGCAGGAAGAGGGGAAGGCTGGTGGTCAAAGCGAGCAAAGAATGTGTTTAGCTCGTTTGCCCACAGCTGGTCTCCTGTGGACTGACTGGGGGGTGTTTTGAAGCCTGCCATGGATTTGAGGCCTCTCCACACCCCCCGCACGTCCTGCCGAGCCAGTTGCTCCTCCATCTTCCTCCTGTCCTCGGGAGACAGCGCTTGAGTGAGACAAAGCCTGTTGTCGCGGAGAAATTTGCAGCCTTTGGCACACTTCCACACAGCATCAAGGATACGGCGAAGAGCAAACAGGATGATGACTGGTCTGTTGTAGGGTTTAATCCCGGGACACGGGATTCCCGGGAAATCTGATCAAAACTATTTCCCGATTCCCGGGAAATGTTATGACGGGAAACGGGAAATTAAAGTAAAAAAAAAAATCCAGTGCGCTCCTATTATAGAGCACGTTTATTGTTGTTCAAAGTTCAAACATATTTCATTTACAATCAACATGCCTACAGCTGAGAGGATGGCTCATAAATTGTGTTTTTGACAACAAATATGGATCTTAATCGCGCTAAACCACGACTTGTAATGAGGCCAGCCTCAGGGTATGGGGCGCATGTGAGCCCAGAATTTGGCTACGTCCAATTCTATCAGAAAGCCCCTTTCTTTTTTTCTATCTGCTAAGGGCAGCAACAGGTTTGGCTAACATACATATAACACATTTTAAGATCATATAAAATGCATTTAAGGTAATGTTCTGCTTCCAATGACGATAGGAATGATAAGGAAGAGAGGAGAAGGGTAAGAAGGTTGATATTAGAAATGTAATGCGCCCGAGAGCCGGCTGCAGCCAGCGAAAAAACACAGGAGTTTATGGAGGTGGCACCCGTTTTGTTTTACGCTTTAAAACTCTTTGGGCTTATTTCCAAATGGGGGATTACATATCTACGCTCAAACTATTATCTGGACTTAAACATGAAACTGGTCTGAACCGAAGTGGTCTGTGCTGTTCATTAATAACTAAGGTAAGACCCATAACACAATTGGAAATGTGCCTTTTACAAACTTTTGCATTTTGTTTGAGCAAATAATGCGGGCCATGGAAAGCATTCTGCTGTAGCCAAACTAATTGTGAATAAGCCGCTCTGTAGGTTCTGTTGATTTATATGATATATGTTCATCTGACAGGGCTGAAGTCAGTGCCTCCAAACCACACGCACGTCACTGGTCGACAAGTGGATTGCGCAGACATTTAGAATCTCATATTAGTGAAATTCCTGAAGAAAGCCCATCAACAAAACGTCTGAAAACGCTATGGCTACTTTAGCAAAGCTAGCAAGTCGCTTAGTGAAACACTAGTGGAGACGGGAGCTTTTGTTGGATTATATATTTGAGTGATATCATTTGGGCTAAAAACAACAACTACAAACAACAGCTATTTCCCGGGATTTCCCGGGAAAGGCGTCGTCTTTTCCCGGGATTTAATACGTCTCATTTTCGGGAAAAATATTAAAGCCTAGTCTGTTGGATCCATCCGTTCTCTTTGGGCCAAGACGATGAGCAATATCCACACCATCCACAAGGTAAACCTGCAAACCGGGAGCAACTTTCCCTAGGACGATGATGACTTCTTTCCTCACATCTTCATTCACATTTTCTTTGAGGCCATGTAGTTTTAGCGACCATCTCCAACTGTACCGCTTGCACTCTCCCACCGCTGTTTTAATAAGCCGGTTCTCCTCCTTCAGCTTCACAATCTCAGACTGAACATCTTTTATATTCTTCCCGTGACGGTCAACATCCATCACAGCCCGCGCCACTGTAGCTGTCAGATTTGCCATTTGTTTGGATGTATTTTCCATTGTTGCTTCAATAGCTGAAACTTTCTGAAAAGTTTCATCTTTCTTTCTGGACAGCTCCTTCGGTGACGCTAGCACATCAGAAAGGCTAACTGCCTCGTTCTTGGCGCCATCCCTGTTACTATCACATTTTTTCCGTTTGTGGATAGGCTTCTCAGCTGCGTTAACAGTTGTATTCTCGTTGACAGTTACAGCACCCTGAGCCTTGTTCTCACTAGTTTCCATTTCTTGTGTGGATATCTCCCCCGTTGACTTCTGTACTTCACAATTTCTTTCCATTTTGCCGTCTTAGTTGAGGTTAAAAACTCGCCGGGAAATATAACAGCTAGCTTCTTGCCTTTATCCCGCGCCTCAATTAAAATGCCATTTTTCCTCACCTTAAGTGAAACTTCAGACCAAAAAGTGTTCCAACAGGGTTTCGTCACTCAAGCTTTCGGTAGTATCAGGTCACAGTCCCATTTGGTTGTCTTTTTTGCAAATTCTCAATTTAAAGACAGGGAGCAACGCTGTCATCAGGTCAAGCGGCGCCCCCCTCTCAGAGTGCGTAATACGTCCTAATGCGCAACGTGGCGTGAATACGTCATGGAAAGGAAGCGCAGTGATTGGCTAACTTATATGTAGCTATAAGGAATGGGGAGACAATATTTTTTTTTAAAGCTGGGCACAGGCACACAGGTTTTATCACCTGGGTTACATACTTTTTATTCATACAATGCTACATAACATATCGATATATGATGTCCTATGTAGTTAAATAAAATGGATAGCCGCTATATTATATTATTAACATACAGAACAATCAATTATTGATTATATGTATTGTAATAATATAAAAAATCTTACCTTTGTAAGAAATTGCCTGCCTTAAACACAATTGCAAGTGTAAGTTAATTTTATGCTACTTTTGGGGCTTCACGGTCCGTGTACTTTTGCGTTCAATGCATTTTCTCTTTTTAAAGGGAAATGGAAAATCGAAAAAAGGCTATTTTGCATTTTCAGGCACACAGCAATATACAAAAATGACCATTTTGGTTTTTTCATTGCTTATAAGAAATATATATATTATGACAACCGGATTTGGGAACTAGAAAATGCAATAATTAACCTTTTTTTTATCATGTATTGAATACATTTCGGCGTCAATCGATTACCCGGAAGTGAAACAAGTTTGTTTGCTTCAGCCCTGTTCGGTCTATTTTAGTATAATTTAATACGCGTATGAACTCCTGTATTTGTCCAAACACAGACGTCCTGTGATAATACTTATCCCGTGAGAATCTGCATGTCAGTGATTGTGATCGCTATAGCTGCTTTCTCTTTACTTTCTGCGTTGTTTTTGTCAATGAGCAGAGGACACAGCTGCAGAGTCGCGGCTGCTGCTGTCTCTGTGAGGTCTATGGAGAAGTGTAGAGCACAGTGTAATGCATTCACTGACACCAAATGATCAGACTGATGGGTTGCATTTGTATGTTTACTTTGCACTCTGTGGTAATACAGTACAGACGTGTTGTCTATGGTTGCTGCAGCCGTTACTATTTGTCGGCCCGCACGTATCTTAGCAGAGTATGTGGTTCACGAGTAGTCCATAGAAACTATTATTAAACATTACAGACATTATGGGCCAGAGAACTGTAGAGCAGTTTGTCCTCATGTTCGTCCTCTCTGTGGCTGCTGTGGTCCATAGACTGTATCAACTATGGTCAGACGCGACTCTCTGAACTGCGTGAAGCGGAGAGACCTGCACACGTGCGGTCGTTATGTGAGATGTCAGTGAAAATAGTATTTTACAGATATTGCTTATCCCGTGTGAATGCACTGCAAAATCTCAGACGCCCTCCACAATTATCACACATCATCAGGGGTCCACAGGTAATACTTATCCCGTGGAGCTAAACAAACTTGTTTCACTTCCGGGTAATCAATGGACAACAGGTTGTGCACCGCTCCACAGGAAAGTTCTCCCCATCTACAATTGATTTGTGCATCTGCGGGTGGCTCCTTTATGCTGTTACTTACGGTAACGGTCATTATAAATAATATAAATGAGTTTTGCGACTACTTTCACTGCACACTTGTTCACTGTGATGCCCTCTACTACTGTGCAAAGTAACATTCACTTGTACTGTAGAAATTACAAGAAAATTGGGGTAAAAATTTGCAATATTGATCCACAATGCAATCTCTAAAATTCATCATCACAGTAAACAAGTGTGCAGTGAAAGTAGTTGCAAAACGTTTGCATTTTGGTTGCGGCTGTGAACACAGCTGCGGAGTCACGGCTGCTGCTGTCTCTGTGAGGTCTATAGAGAAGCGTAGAGCACAATGTAATGTGTTCACTGACACAAAATGATCAGACCGATGGGTTGCATTTGTACGTTTACTTTGCGCTCTGTCCTAAACTTACAGACGTGTTGCTGCAGACGTTACTATTTGTCGGCTCGCACTTATCTTAGCAGAGTAAGTGGAACGTTCACGAGTAGTCCATACAAACTATTATTAAATATTACAGACTTCCGGGTAATCGATTGACGCCGAAATACATAATAAAAAAAGGTGAATTATTGCATTTTCCTGTTCCCAAATCCGGTTATTATAGTATATATGTCTTATAAGCAAAGAAAAAAACCAAAATGATCATTTTTGTATATTGCTTTGTGCCTGAAAATGCAAAATATCCCAGTGTGGGGAAAATATATAAATACAGACAGAAAATAATAAAGCTTTATTATTTATTTTGAACCAAAAACGTTGTATGATAATAATATGTATTTATTAAATCTAATTTTTATCTTAATACATATTTGCCAGTTGTGATATTTATTTATTTATTATTTCGACATGTTATATGCTGCTCTGTTTTACTTTATTATACACATTGTCACGTGTTTACGCATACATTATCCAACGTGTGTGTCCAAAATGCAAAAAATTAATTGATTAGTTGATTTGATTTTGACATTTCAAAACACAGCTCGGTAATATTTTCCTCCACACTGTATATATAATACAACAGGTTATAGTTGCTGGATAAGCAATTTTTTGAGAGTTCTCTTAATTTTAAGAATAAAGAGAGGTTTAAAGTATATTTGAATCCAGGGCTTTGTGAAATATACGCTCTAATAATCTTGGATGAACTGCGTTGGAGGAAAACAAACGAATCGTACGCTACGTCAGTGGGACACGTGCTCCACGTCGTCATGGATACAGGCCACAAACAGGAGAAAAATTATCAAACCCTCCGCGGTGTCAGGTGAGGGGAGACGTGTTTTAAATACATTTTTAATCCACTTTGAATCCTGCCGTGAACTGCGTGAGTCCCGTGGCTGTTAAATATAATAACCAAATTGTGCAGATAAGGTAAGCATGTGTTTGTTGTGCTTTCAAGTTGGTGCTAAAATCACGAGTGCTGCTTGCTAACGCGTATGTGTATCCTGAGTCGGACACTTCGGGCTTAAAACATGCACCGGTTACCCACTTCAACGGGCTATAAAAACACAAACTTAACTATTTTGCGAACGTTACTAGCATAAAACGGAAGCTAAAAGTCTTAGCTTTCGAACAATATATATGACTAATACGTTATTTAACTGTGGCTTTCTATATGCTGTTGAAAAGACCGCGGTGAAAGTTGGATATCCGACAGACATACAACAGTCTTTCCCTCTCGGTAAACCTCTCATTCGCTGTGGGTGCAGTGCGACTCAAAAGCCACCGCAACATTTAAGTGCACCCATACTACAGCCAGTACGGTAAACACACGGACACATGTACGCTGGTATTTTATTATTGAGTGTTTGGTTTTAAGGTGACATTTCAAATCTGTCCAGGGACAACAGATAAAAATAGCCTTGTGGCTAATTCTTTAGCTAATGTTCATGAATGTACACTGACCTTGTCAAATAAACAAATACATAATAGAAGAAGGCTGCAGTGTGTATAAACTTCCCTTTTTCCAAATAAACTTACTGTGTCTCAAGCAGCGACTGTGTTGACATGATCCAAGATTAATTTGGAGTAAATAATTCACATGACTTAGAAGCTATTGAGCTAAAATGCTAATATTTACATATTAAAATTATTAAAAAAAAACTTAAAACATTTAAATGACAAAAGAAGAGATGTACCCCCTGCAGCTAGTGGAGGACTATGATCCTAAACTGATTTGGAGTCAATAGATCACATGACCTGGAAGCTATTGAGCTAACATGCTAATATTTACATATAAAAATTAATTAAAAATACTTAAAACATTTAAATGATAAAAAGAGGTGTACCTCTTGCAGCTAGTGGAGGACTATGATCCTGACCTGATTTGGAGTCAATAGATCGCATGACTTAAAAGCTATTGAGCTAAAATGCTAATATTTACATATAAAAATTAGTTAAAAATACTTAAAAAACTTAAATGATAAAATAAGAGGTGTACCTCCTGCAGCTAGTGGAGGACTATGATCCTAAACTGATTAGGAGTCAATAGATCTCATGACCTGGAAGCTATTGAGCTAAAATGCTAATATTTACATACAAAAATGTATTAAAAATACTTCAAACATCTAAATGATAAAAAAGAGGTGTACCTCTTGCAGCTAGTGTTCCCCTTAAAAAAAAATAAAAAAAAAAAAATATAACAAAATTAAAAAAAACAAATTTCCATTAACCATTTTACCCACCTTATCCATGACGCCGAAATACATAATAAAAAAAAGGTGAATTATTGCATTTTCCTGTTCCCAAATCCGGTTATTATAGTATATATGTCTTATAAGCAAAGAAAAAAACCAAAATGATCATTTTTGTATATTGCTTTGTGCCTGAAAATGCAAAATATCCCAGTGTGGGGAAAATATATAAATACAGACAGAAAATAATAAAGCTTTATTATTTATTTTGAACCAAAAACGTTGTATGATAATAATATGTATTTATTAAATCTAATTTTTATCTTA